TCTATATTTAATAAAGAACTAGATGTGAAATTAGGAAATATATAAAGGTAGAATTTTAAGAAATATAACTTAATTTTTAATACGATTCTGAGATGACTCTTATTTATCTTAGGTACAATCCTTAGTAATTAAAATTTTTGATTTAAAATATCTAATCATAAATATAATAAGATTAAGCTTTTGACTCTCCCACTAAGGATACTCTTTAATTACTAAGCTAGATATTAAACATTTGTTAATTAATTAGCATAGGTCTTAGAATGTAAGTTAATTAAATTGTTAAATCTATGATATGGTTTTAATCTACAATTAGATTATGGATAATATTTTTGTAAATGGCCTAAAACTTTAAATGTAAGAATTTTCGCTTAGTAAATAAGTATTGTACGAATAATGATAAACCAATTTAAAAAATAAACTGGGGATGTATAATTACCATAAATTTAAAATGTATTCTCTCCTTGTTGATGGGAGTTTATTTTAATTATAATATATCTTCAAATTTATAGTAATTAGATTGTTATATTATTGGTTTATTTCTGATTAATTATAAGTTGCCTTTAGAGTTTTATAACTTATTAACTGTACTTTTTTGACAGATTCTATAATCGAGTATAAATATGATAAAGTTTATGTAGAATTTACGATAGACTAATAGAGTAGGTTTGAAGCAGTAGTGAATTATTATTTTATTTTATTTTTTTGGATTTATTGACACCAGATTCAGCATTATCATTTTCTATCTAATTTTATTGATTTTTGCAAATATTTTCCTAGCAAACATTCTGTTTATTTATATAAAGATCTCATTCATTATTTTACTGATTACAATACAATTAAATAAACACCTGTGAGGTTCTAATTAATGTTAAAATCTCTCGATGGAAATCCCCTTCTTAATATAATCTTAAAAAAATTCCAGCTGTCATACTATCTCATCTTAAAACCCAGAATATTTTTGTAGTTAAGATTGTAGTCAATATTCTCCTTACTGTGACAATTAAACTAGAATGGGAAGTTACTTTGGAAACATTTCAATAACCAACAGCCGTTATTGATGGAAAACTTAACGATTAAATGAGAAAGAATTTTAATGAGTATTATGATATGATGTCAAGATTTGTCAATAAAAGAAATAAACTTAGAACTAAAATGAAACAGATCGATTACTTTATTATTCACAAAAATATAAAATGGTGTTTAAATAGATATTCCACTTGAGTATTTATTTAAAAAAATTTTAAATATACTCTAAAACAGTTGGATTTTACTTAGATATTTAAGAGTCAAACCTAAAAATGTTTATGAAAACATGATGTAATAATCAAGATCTTCTTTGAAATCAAATAAATTAAATTTGAGATTGTCTAAAATAAAGAAATTTAAGATGTTATTTTGGTTTCAAGATCGTTATTTAAAAATTATATATAATTTTATGACATTATTTAACGCTCAAGGAACTTAAAACCTTTCAAAAAGGAAGGATCTATTAAAAATATACTTAAGATGCTAGATGAGTCAAAGAGAGGCTGTTACAAGAATGTGTTATAGTTACGTATCAAAGACTTAGTTAAGATCTATTTGATAAAAAAGGTTTTAGAATATGCTCAAAAAAAAAAAATAACCACATTTTCTAAATGCTTAAAAGTCACAAAGATCATCTAAATAAGACCCTATAATAGTGGCCATTATTCTATAATTACATAGGGAGAAAAGAGTTATTGCTATCGAAATTCATAGAAGAGTTAAATTAAATGGTTAAATATTGTATAAAGATTTCCTGACATAGAGAGAAGAATAGTTAAATTGATTCTGATAAATAGATTAGTTCATAGGAATGAAAATAATTATGAGAATAGTTGATTGGCATCTTTTAAAAAACATAAAACTAGATTACAAAATAAAAGCTCTATGAAAGCTATATGATTAGATAATTATAGGAATTCTATTTATTTTAAAGACTTTCTGTAATAAAACAGTTTAGATTTAGACCTAATTAGAAATAAATTTTAAGAATGAAAATTTCTAATGAAAGAGTAATAAATATAAATATCATATAATAATTCTCTAAGCCTAAATAAAATCTGAATTTTATGTAGAATCTATCGAATAGTGAATAAATAAGAAAGAACTCTAAGAAAAAGAGAGATGAAATGACATAATATAGTTTTTTGGGATATTATACTTTAAAATGTTGGTTAGATGGTAACTTTTATCAAAATAACATGAAAAATATCATTAAAATTTTAACCTCTTTAATTGCTCCAATCTAGATTAATTTAGGAAGTCAGCTAATTTAATTGTTTCTATAGTTAACTCTCCTCCAACAGAATCCTAAAATAGATCTTCTATGCTTTCTGATTATTAACTATGTATGTCCAAAATTTTATCTATTCTTGAATGATCTTTCTTAAGAATTGGATATTTTATTTAATTTTATTGGCAAAATAAGATTCTAAGCACCACTCTCAAAAGTTTCAATATTTTTTTTAATTACCAATTACTATTAGAGGTGAACTTGTTCAAAAAAAAATGAGTCCACAAAATACACAATAATTGTGCTAGCTAAATTTAAATTGATGACACAAAAAAAAAATATGTTTAATTTAATTTTATAATATTCATTCATTTACTAAATATGGAATTCCATGTTTATCAATTTCACTAAAAAACTATTCATTTAAAATTTAAAATTGTTAATATAAATTATTCTGGTATTCTTCATCAACTTCAACATCTTCTATATCAATTCTCTCTCAATACATCTATCTAAATCATTATATTTATTATGAATAATAAAGTGGTCAAAACTAGATCTATTACCATATCCACTGTTTAACATTACATCCAATTGTACTTAAATTTTAACAAATACCCAAAAAAACTTAGAAATGTATTAAATTCTGAGTCTTTTTCTTCTAATACTTTTAAATTCCTCATATTACTAGTTTAAGAAGATTTTATATTCATATCCTTATCTTATTAAACCTTAATACGATTTTGATTTATTTGAGAAAGATGTTTTGAAATGAAATAATTCCCAAATCCTATCAATTACCTTACTTGACAATTTCTTCAGAAAATTTAAAGTCAGTTTCAAAGGCCATATTCTTAGTTTTTCCCATAA